AGCATCTTTAGGTTATAATAACATTAAAAATTCAAATCCAGATTTTGATTTTCAAAGATTTATTATAAAATTGTATAATTGTTTCCCCAAAATGCAATAAATCCATGACACGTTTTTTTTTCTTTCCAAAATGCAATAAATCCATTGAATTAATATAAAAGTTATTTTTCATATTGAAACTGTTGAAAATACACAACATAGTAAGTTGATCCACATATGACAGCCTCTGAACTTGGTCAATACTAAATGGTGCACTTTATTTTACAGTCCTATTTCCATATACTTCCTTTGTACGTACTGGTGTATGTAGGCCTACCTATTAGTTAATGTACAGAATAAGTTATGCGGTACTCAAGTTGGGGGGTATAAACATGGACCAAGGTACTTATTGAGAAATTGATGGTAGGTGCCATTGCAGCTAACTTGCCTTATCTTTAACGACACTGATTCTCTTAACTAATTGGTCCAATAGGGATTTTTGATGGCGTACATTCCTAATAATTATGTGTGTAGACATATTTTATTTTGTAATTATACAGTAGCTACTAGACTCATATTTGCACTTGCAACTCCTGATTGTCATGTGTCTAAATCCCTATTTGAAAGGACTGTGCCTGCTAAGTATTAACACTATGCAGTGCTGTACAGTTACTGCCGTGTTCCCAACCAACCTCCAAAGTTCCAAACTGCAATGGCACCTACCATCAATTACTCAATAAGTACATTGGTCAATGTTTATACCCCCAACTTGAGTACCGCATAACTTATTCTGTACATTAACTAATAGGTACATACACCAGTACATACATAGAAAGTATATGGAAATAGGACTGTAAAATAAAGTGCACCATTTTACATAAACATTACACAAGAATTACCAGTTCTTCAAACTTTGTTAAACTTTACCATGTATAGACCATTAGTAAGTATAGTAATGTGTCTTATTAGTTACCATATACTGACACTACCTGTTAGTGACCGTTATTACTCACACTTGTTGGTAAGTACTACATATTTACCACGTGTATACCAAGTACAGTATGTGTCTTGTTTGTTACCACATAATACCACATTTTTCCGTAGATGCTACACATTTACCATGTACATATCATTAGTATGTACAGTAATGTGTCTTATTAGTTACCATATACGGATACTGTAAGGATGTGCCTGTTTGTACCCACTTGTTACAGTTTACAGTGCGTGGAATGGTGTGCTGTGATTGGTTGATCGGATTTATAGCATTCGGCAGAAAAGGGAGACGGTTTGGAAAAAAAGGGAGAAAACATGACAGAATAACTCGGCGGATATCGCATTTTGCGTAA